AGTGAGCCTACAGTGAGTTTATATGTAATGTTGATGGTACAACAGTGGTAACTCTGAAATAAAGTTTGTTTTGGAGGTTACTTTTACCTCACAATGCCCCGCATGGACCCCTTTGCCATGTATGCACTTAAACTAAAGCATTTTAGGCCAAAACTTTCTCTCAAAACTGTCATAAAACAATGTCTCAACTTATTTGTTACCCTTCCATTTCATAACTGTCTGAGAGGGAACTTTCAGAAGAATTAAACTCTTCAAACATTTGCTTCCTAATTCAAATTAGTCTTCACAATAACAATCAATGGGTCAAGAAAGTCTACAAAATCAAAACCCAGTAAAGGTGTCAATGGAAATAATTTACCAAATAAATCTATGTTGAAATTAAATTGACAGATTTATTTAGTCAATTATTTGCATTCCGGTTTGTACTGTCCCGTTCCACAATAAATGCACTGCTGCGCCATTTAAGGTGGAACGGGAAAATTTGAATGAGAAGAGCTGGCGAAAGAGAAGCTCCAGCCTCACAACTTAGTGTTTGACTGTTTCTTGTTGCAGATTAAACGTATCAGGAAACCAGCTGGAGAGCTTTTAAATGCAGATAAGTCCATTCGTCTCCAAATTATTGATGTTTGTCGTAAATCTCTCTCTGCCATTTCGTTAGATTGTTATTATCTGCGTTGCCGTGTGTCCAGAAGTCTGTGCGTCAATCTTCAGCATTAAAGGTTGGTGAACGGTTAAGACCATTTACTGTGAAAACTGTGTTAGAACTGTGTTATAAAGATTTTACAGTAAAAATGATATTTTACCTAAAAATCTAGTTCTGCCGTGGAGCCGCCACAGCTCTGCAGCAGTGGAGAGATTCTTCAAGCCTGATTCTCACCCCAAACAGAGCCAGAGTAACTGATGAGAGTATTGAGGCTGAAGTGTTACTGAAGTTTAATAAAGGACTCTGAATGTCATGTCTGTTCATATCTTTAAAAAATGTTTAAATAGGAGTAGTTTTATTTTTAACAGTTGAAAATGCTTTGCACAAAATTGTTTGGTTGTATACAGCAATTTTTGTTAAGAGAAACCTGTAATGATTGACTTTGCCATTATTTACTCTACATTTTTGTTGGATATCACACCTTTGGGTGTGTAAGTTTGATTGTTGGTTACACTTAAACTCACTTTTTGTTGATCTTTTTGTATATTTGTTTCTGGCACATGATTAAATGCAGTGTCTTGTTCACACTATCAGGTGGGCTTGTTTGGTGTGTCAGGTGGAGATTCACAAACATTCTGACAGTCACGCTTGGAAAGTAGCTAAAAAGTAGTGCAGTACTTTTCAAAAAGTAGCTAAAAAGTAGCCACTACTTTTTCTGGAAAAGTAGCTAAATTGTAGCAAGCTACACATTTTGGGAAGTAGCTACAAAGTAGCTAACTACTAATTTTTCAGTAGCTATCCCATCCCTGACCATAAGTCTGGACGATCAAGCCATATCAAAAGATTAACTACTCTGCAGAAAAAAAAAAATCATACCTTTGGCGACTGTAGCCAGATTTTTCCATTCCATTCCATTTTTATTACATCAGTCCACAGCACTTGTTTCCAAAATGCCTCTGGCTTGTCTAGATGTTTTGCACACTTCAGACATTGACTTTTGTGATGAGGTAGGAAGGAAATTTTCCTTCTGATGACTCTTCAATGCAGATCACTTGTGCAAGTAACGCTGCACAGTAGAACTGTGCACTTCCAGCTAAACCTTCCTGCAGGTCCTCTGCTGTCATATGGGGGTTTTGCCTTTCTGGCCAGCATATGTGCAGTTTTATCTGAGAGTTTTCTTGTCTTGTCTTCCTCTCAATTGCCATTTCTTAGACATTTCAGACAGTGAAAACTGCATGCTGGAAGCGCTTTGATATCTTTTTTTTTTGTAACAGCTTTAACATGCTTTGTAGGCAGCAATTAGCCTTAGTTTCCTCCTCAGCCAGCTGCTAAGAAGAGCTGTTAGCAAAAGGTTTGAAGAGTCAGACTTTGTTCTGAAATTGTCATCAGCTGACATTTCCTAATGACATTTCATGACCCGCCTAACCAGTAAATTAAATACATTGAGACTTTACAACTGTTTGCAAACTTTTGCATATGTTGTATGTTTTTTTTTCTATTTTAATAGTTTTCTGCAAAACATTACTCATCACTTGAAAATCCAAAAAAAAATACACATCGATCAGGCTTAACATTATGACCACCTCCTTGTTTCTACGCTCATTGTCCATTTTATCAGCTCCACTTACTATATAGGTGAACTCCAGCAGCACTGCTGTGTCTGATCCACTCGTACCAGCACAACACACACTACCACACCACCACTGTTACTGCAGTGCTGAGAATGATCCACCACACAAATAGTACCAGCTCTGTGAGGGTCCATGGGGTCCTGACCCCTGAAGAACAGGGTAAAAGGGGGTTAACAAAGTATGCAGAGAAACAGATGGACTACAGTCTGTAATTGTAGAACTACAAAGTGCACCTATATAGTAAGTGGAGCTGATAAAATGGACAATGAGTGTCGAAACAAGGAGGTGGTCACAATGTTATGCCTGACCACACAAAGAAAACGTTGAAGTTATTTGTTCACATTCACTTTTTACTTTTAGATGCTTAAAGTTTCAATGTAGATACTTATTTTAACTTAAAGGTGCATTGTTAAAGATTTTGTGGCAACTACCAATGAGTTTGCAGATTACAACTCACTGAATACCCCTCCCTCATCTGTTGCTTTCTTAGTGTGTAGTAGAACCTATGGTGGCTGCCAGGTTTTCGCTTCCACTTAAGAACGCAAAAGGCACTCTAGAGCCAGTGTTTAGTAACATGGCAGCGTAACATGGCGGTATCTGTGGGAAGAGGATCTGCTTCCTACGTAGATATGAAGGTCTGATTCTAAGCTAACAAAAACACAACGATTTGTAGTTACTGTTGATGAAACACTAAGGAAATAATAGTGTTGTGTACTATATCCCATTTCCGCTAATAGAAATATTACACAATGGCTCCATACTTACTAGTTGTTGACACAGTATCCATACTTTTACTTTAGTTTCTATATACTTTTTCATCCCTGAAAACACTCATCCACTGAGCTTATGCAGTGAACCTGCAGCAGGATCCTTACTGGTGATTTAAACCATGAATTTATTTTCTCATTACAAGGAATCCTCACTGTATTCTTCAGTCTAGTAGAGAACTGAGCCTACAATGCTTCAGACTTGTGGGTCCCAGGCATTTTTCATGCATGTGATGTATAAATGGTCAGTGGAATCATACATATGTATACATATAATTCCTACATATAGTACAATTTAAAAAAATAAATAAAATGTATTGAATTACAGCCTCAACTAAAGCATTCCAGAGCATTTTTCACTCTTGGGCTGGCTGCACTGATCACACACAACAGCCTTCTGACATGCCCTTGTGTGTTGCACCATAGGGCCTAAAGAACAACACTATGTTGCAGTGCATGCAGGTTATATCGAGGAATGACAAAAACCACCTGACTTGGTTCCAAGGAGCAAACAAAACCATTAAAAGGAATGTCAGGACTGGGTATCACTGAAATATCAATACAGACAGCTTGACTTCAGAACTGATTAATGAACATTTTTAGCTTGTATATTGCTGTTTTACAGTCTAAGTAAAGGCTTGACCCCAAATCTCTTAAATCTCTGAATCCTAGCTATCTGCTGACCACATCAGCCCACAGTTATGTTCTGTTTATATTGTAGCTGATAAAGTGGGAATCCTACTTTAAAAAATACGTTTCGAGTCGGTTCTTATTGGTAAGCCGAGTCAACTCACTGAAAAGAACCACTGGGCAGTGCCCTGCAAATATGTAGCTGAACACAACATTGGCTGTTTTTGTGAAGCCACTGCATAGCACACACAAACAAACCTTTTCACCAATGAAATTATCATTCACAGCCTTAGAACCACAGCAAAGGCTAAAGATGTGAGTCTTATGGTAAAACAGCAGAATTGACAGCTATGCAGATTAGTTATTTAGCAGGTTTTTTTGTGTCGTGCGATGGACCAATAGGCTAATTTTCTCTTCATGCTCTGGAAACAGGCTTCGCGGCCAGTGGGATGCATGGAATGGAAAATTCCGCATGTCTGTATTCAAGCATAATGAAGTGGTTGGCTATTAAGGTCAAAACATGTTCTCACAACGATCCACTGCTTTAAATAACAATGCTAAAATGACAACAATTCAAGCTTGGGATTGAGGATGTAAAACTACATTTGATTGTCTAAGGCAGGGGTCACCACCCAAATGTTAGGAAGAGCCATTTTGTCCTCAACAAAAATCAAACCACATTAGGAGCCACAACATTTCATGTCCATTTTACCATCTTGGCTGTAAATATGACTCAGTATGTGCTCATGTACTAGTATAAGCTATAACATATATAAAACGTAGACTTGCTTTGCTTTAGCTCATCTTCAAGTTACAAATGTTTTTACCCCAACAGACGGTACGAAGTTCAGATAAATTACTCTATAGAAATTTTCTCCTTTTCCTACCTTGTATGTGCGTACTTAAACTTTACCTGTTTTTATAAAATCAAATAAAATGTTGCATTTTATAAACCCCACTCCCCCAAAAAAGCTTTTCTCGCATGGGCACATCTAAATCCAAATCCTTGTTGCATTTTTAAATAAGGAGGTAATTTACTCACACTGTAGAATGTTGCCTTTATCAATAATTTTCCCTTTGAACCTAAAAACAATTGACAGCTGGTCCTGCATTCTTAAGAAAACAAAGGAGGGCTCAGACAGATGTTAATATAGACACAAAAATGGTTTGTTTTGTTGTTTTTGTAGAAAGAAATGGAGGCTGATATTCTCCTCATGTGAAGCTCATTCAAACACATGAATAAATCTTAGCGAAAGCTGCTGGAGGTTGCCATCCTTTACAAACAGAAGTACGCAAAAGACGTGCTGTGAGCTGTCCTTACAGATCTTACAGAGTCTCATTTTGGCTGATGCATGGTTATGTCAAGATACACTCCTTGAAAGCAACTTTTTTGAAGGGCAAATGTTGATGTCTGTTGACTCAATGTTCCCATTAAAATCAGTTGCAAGAGGCACGTTCTTCACAAGATACCAAAATGTCTTACTGAACCATAAACACCTAAACTCCGGTCAGCGCACCCAATGAAACAAAGGTCATCACAGTCAAAGACGAAAAGGGATTTCTTAATTAAAATTCATTTTAATATATATATTTATATATATAATGTGTATATACATATACACATTAACTTAAATTTCTGTAACACTCAACTTAAGTGGTCTGTAGTCTGAGAGTTTCTGAATAGCACCTGGCCAGGTGAGAGTCTGAGGGCGATACTCATAGTCCAAAACTCCTTATAGCCGGGCATGGATGGGGGTGGTAAGGGGGGGAGTGAAGGAGGATTCTTCGTTTATAAAAACAGCAAAGCGCAGATGCTCTTCCTTGGTGAAATCTCTCTCTCTGAGGGAGAACAGGCTCTTGCTTCATGTTAAGCAGGTAATCTCCGCGACTTCTACTACAGCATGTCAGAGCTTGATGCATGTGAATGTCTGCGCAAATGTATGTGTGTATGTGTGTACGCGCATGTTTAAGATACAAATACTGATATGCTAAATTTCTGCCATTTCTGAGAAAAAAATATGTACAGGACTGCAGCATTAAAATGCACAGGACATTGTTGCAATAACTTAGTTGTCTGCCAGTTTGAAAGTACATTTTCCAGGCCAGGCAATTTCACAGATTCAGCAGAGGGAGCAGGGAAAAACCCTTCCCTGTAGGCACCCCAATACCTTGTTTTGTTTTCTTTTCAACATGGATGTATCGCCGTTTTACACCGTTGTTGAGTGAAATGCTGTTGTAGTTCATCAAACTCATTTAAAAAAAAGTTCTCAAGAGACGTTTTTAAAGCTACTTGAAAAACAAAACAGTGCAAGAGGTGCAACTGAGTCTCCCCCTGGTGGTGTGGAAAGAGAAGGACGTGCTATAAGAAAGGGTTTGTGGAGGAGTTTCCTGCAGGATACTGTCCCGCCGGTGCCCCCGCCTGAACGAGAGAGAGAGAGAGAGAGAGAGAGAGAGAGAGAGAGAGAGAGAGAGAGAGAGAAACCCAGTGACAATCAGGCTTACAATTACAATAACAAACAGAGAACTGCGAATAGAATTAAAAGGTAGATAGAATGGAATTAAGAAGTAGAATATAGTACAGAAAGAGAGGCTGAAAGCTATGTATACAATAATAAAATCAGAACACTATTTAACTGTACTAAACCACCATAAAGTCTAGTACAACTAAGACTCTGGTACAATTAAGACCACCAAAAATATAATAGATGCCTAATTTAGAAGCTATTAAATTTAAAAGAACAAAAAACACAATTCATGTGTTTACAAATGAAAATTGACACTTTTCCAGTGTGTATATACTACAGTTAGGGATTTACAAATACGACTGACAATATTACAACTCACCAAAAATGGATTATTGGTAACTCCTGTTGATGCCATGTTCTGTCCAAAAGGAGGTACTACAGCCTTACCCTGTCCACCAAATGCAGCAAAACCTCCACCTAAACACAAAAAAATGGTTAGAATGAATTAAAGAATACAAAGACTGATACTGACCACTTTCTCTGACTGCCAAAAGACAACTGGGTCACTGACTGACTAAAACTTTTAGCACTACGTATACACCGACCAGCCACTTCACTAAGTACAACTCCTGTAGTACACTGTAGTCCATCTGTTTCCCTGGACACTGTCAGCCCCATTTTATATTGTCTTTCAAAGCTGAGAACCCCCGAAAGAACCACCACAAATATGGTAAGTGGACAAAGGACAAAGAGTGTAAATACAAGGAGGTACACTTAATGAAGTTAGTAGCTTGGCTTCAATATAATATGTCCTAATTAATGTTTTCATGAAAAGTGTTTGTTGTGCTTCAGTGGGTTACGTTCAGATACCTAACTTTACAAGCTCACATCTCTAAAGAACATCAAATTCTAGCTTTGTAAGGTAGCAGTAAGAAATACTGGACTGGATATTTAGTAAATTTCTCATAGTGTAGTAAAAACTATGTGATCAAGTACATGAGTTTGTGCATCACTGTTAAAACATTTACCGAATTAGTGAGCTGTGCCAGTTCTCTCACTAAACAGAAATCATACACATTCCACTTTTTTTTTTTTTACCTGAATTTATGATTTCAACTGGTTTTGCTTCTGAGTTTGAGTATCTGCCTGTTTGTGCCTATCAGTCAATAGACTGGGAGGTTAGAAGTGGATATTATTTATTTATTTAACTATCATTTTTGTTAGAACTAAATGAAAAAAATGTCAGACACTTCCAGTCTTTTAAAAAAGTGGTGAGTCAAATGCCTGTCATTCCGATGGTTATGTAACAGAGCACATGCCTTTTAGAGCAGAAAGCCACATTTTCTTGCTCCTCACCGTTTGGTTGCTGAGGGTAGGTCTGCTGCTGGGGGAAGCCCTGGCTGGGGAAGGCTTGCTGGAAGCTTCCACTGAAGCTGGTGGGGAGGTTGTAGGCGGCAGCATTTCCAAACCCAGCTGGCATGCTCATCGAGCCAGGACCAAATGAGGCTGCAACATGACAGAGAAGAAAATGTTGCTTAGACACACACAAGATAATACACCATCTCTGCAGTAGGGCTGTCACTATTGATTATATTAGTAACTGAGCAATTCACCCGATATTTTCACCATTAATGGGGTAATTGAGTTTTTTAAAAAGTCTGCAACAATTAAAATAGACTTAAATTAACAACAAACCAACCATGCAGAGCCTCTAAAAATTAACAAGGAGGCCTTTAAAAATATTAAAAAGACATATAAAAACTCACATGGCACACATGGCACAAAAAACAGATATAAATGGCCACCGTACCATTTTATCATATGAGAGACCAATAAGGGATACTATAAATAGGGGTGGGCGATATGGCAAAAATACCACAATACTTAGACATTTTCACACTATATAGGATACTTAATTTTTCAGTGATTTCATAAGTTTGAACGAATAAAATAAAATAAACTCACACTTGATTTTAATTTAATGTTTTACAAACGGCACTAAATCCAATTATATAGGAATAATTGTGCCCACTTTGTGATGAAACATGTCGTTTGTCAGTGTTTTTAAGCACTGACAACATCCACAACATGCTCAGAAGTGTTACTGTGACAATTTATCACAGAAACAATACTGTCATATTGCCCACCCCTAACTGTGAGGCAAACTTAATAAATCGTTGCTGATAAATTTTAATCAGTGATGTTTAAGTGAAGTAATTTAATAATGGTGATAGCCCTTCTGTGTAGATACGCACAGTTCTAGACTCTAGTGCTAAAGGGGACAATATAAACTTAAGGTGGCTGTGGGCCAAAGGATAGATGCTACATGCCATATCTAAAGCTGATAGCTCACATTCATTTTTACTTATAGTGCTACCATAGCACTCCACACATGATTTACACACCCACACACAATCTCCCACTCACCCACCCACACAGACCACACAAGGGACTCGTTTTCCACAGATTAAGCCCAGTTCTACCCTGATATATTGCTTTATTATGGAATTCCCATTGGCTAGGTACAATCTGTGGAAAACTGGCTAAATAGGTAGCACAGCACTTCTATATGTATATAATCTAAAACAGAACATGCATACAAGGGGCTGGGCAGCAGCAGGAACTAAAAACATGTCTACTCTATTACTATACTTAGGCCCAATCCCATTTCACCCCTCGCCCCTACCACTTAGCCCTTAGCCCTCTGTTTTGCGCGTTCACGTCTAGGGTTAGGGTGTCCCAATTTTTGTTGAGATAGAGGGGTAGGGCCAAGTGTTAGGGCTACATGGCCCTCCAAACGGAGATTTTTCAGAGGCTCACTCCAAATGGAGTGTTATGAAAAAAAGAATAGCCGGCAAGATTGGTGCGCGAGTGACCAAAGAAACCCACAAATGTGAGTATTTTCTCCGTTAAAGAAATTACGATAATCATTGTATTATCTTAGTTTGATGTTGTTTCAATGTATTATGGTCGTTTTCTTCATAACAAGCATAAAAAAAAACGCTTATAGCACGCTCTCAATGTCTCGGTAGCTAGCAAGCTAACTTTCCCGTTCCACAGTCCAGCAGTTTTGACGCCTGAAGCGCCAGAATGCAACTGCTGCACCATTTAAGGTGGAATGGGAAAATTCGAACAAGAAGCTGGTGAATAGCTGACTTCAGCTTCGTACCTCCAAAGAATTAGGGGTGGGCAATAATAAATAATTGTCTTATACCCCCTCTTTGAAAGGATATGATGCCCTAAATGTAACTAAAGCCCAGCAGTGAGGTTGCTGAACTTTTCCCTTCTCTTCTATCTCTGAAGACAGGCCAGGTCGCCTATAGAGCAGCGCTAGTAACCTGTCATGTTTTTTCTTTTTCTTTTGAGGGTTGTCCCATTTTGTAGGGCAAGATTTCAACCACTACCCCTTGTGACTCAGTTCCAAGGGGTTAGGGTGACACTCGAAAACAAGAGGTAGGGGTAAAAAGAAGAAATGGGATTGGGCCTTGGTACTCCATTAATGTATCATTTTTGCAAATACACTTTTCTCATATGTAATTTAGCAATTGGTAATTTATAATTTCTACTTTTTAAAGAGCCCTGGACCTTAGGATGAAAAAAAAACAAAGCTCAACAGTTCAAAAATGTTGTACCTGCTGCGTGTGCATCTGCTGCATTTGAGAAAACAAAATATATAAACATACATGTCAGTTTAAGCCTATGCCCTTCTGAAAAAAGCCTGTGTAGCACAGAATTTTTAACTAGTTTGTCGTTCAATGATAGCCATAATTTATATAATTAATGAAAAAGTGTGTAGTGTCTTGTCCATACATTCAAGACATAAAATAAATATCATAAGAATGAATCATTCGGAGCTGACAAAGTGGGGTTTCTCAGAAATGTGAATGAGGAGTGAGCGAGGAGCGGGAAACAGAGAACCCAGAGCGGAGTTGGAGCAGAGCGATTACAGAAGAGCTTTGAGAGAGGAGTGGAAACGTATGCTGCTCTACTCCACTCTTTGACTTTATTACAGCTTCCATTCTTTCGGGAAGCTCTCTCTAAGTTTTTCAAAGAAATCTGCAGAGATACTGCTCCACAGCTCCGAAGTTCAATCTTAGAAGTTGGTTGCATTTTCTGCTTCTCACAATCCAAGTAATCCCAAACACAGTGATGAGGTGTGGACTCTGTCGATTTGCATATTTTCTTTAGGTTTATATCCTTTTCTCAGTAACAGCTTCTTGACAGCTACACATCCTTTCAGATCAATAGCAGATAGTTGTCTTCTCACAGTGGAAGGATGGACAGAAACACCTGTGGATTTTTTCAGATTTGAAGCAAGAGCGGAGCTTGATTTTCTCCTCTCTCTCAAAGATGAAAGCTTTAAGTGCTGATTATCTGATGGTGACAGTTGTGGTGGTCTACCAGCTCTTGCAAGGTTGTTAGGAAAGTCCAATTTTACATATCCTTTAACTGTGTAACGAAAAAAACTTAGGTCAGCTTTTGATCTGATGCTATTACATTATTAACCACAGCAATTATGTGGGCCTGCTTTTTCCCCTACCCTCGTCCAGCATGTCCGTTTCATAATTTATATTGTCCCTGTTCTAAGAATATCTCAAAATAAACAGACAGACTAGAAGTACTATCACAGTAGTTTCACTGAAATGTATGAACTTTTATTTAGATCACACGGTGCATTTCAAGGACATCAGCAATTAAATTTTAATGACTTGGGGCTGGGCAATATAATGATTTTTTGTTATGTTGATACATTACACCACACTATGCTTTTTTTTTTTAGCATATTGTCGATATCTTCACTTAAAGAACACTGACTGACTGCAGGTCTCATCACAAGGCGTATTTACTGTACTGGATTTAGCATTTTTCCGATTACCGGAACCGGCATTTAAAGTTGCTTTCCTAAAAGCTTTAACGTGAGTTATGGGCATCTCTATCATAGAAACTGCTGACAAATGATTCTGACTCAATGTCCTGCTCACAGCCTTAGGGGTAAATCAGAAAATGTGAAGTGTGGAGAACTACCACTTGGTAATGTCTTCCAGGTGTGTCAAATGCTAGAGGGCGCTCCTGATGAGTTCAAAATAAATGGGTTCCAATGGAGCTTTTGTGCAAAGCCATTGTCTGTAAACACTTCATTTTTTAATACAGGAAAATGCAGTCATTTGTTAAACACAGAACAGTATAAAATATTTCAACACCCTTATAGGACTTCATAATGGTGCCTCGTGTACGTTCATGACATCAGCGGGTGTGATCCGCTTCACTCAGCCAACGAGCTGATTAGCACGCCACCAATCAGCACTCAGTAGCAGTGATGCTAAACCAAAACTTATTCGCTGCAGAAAAAAAAAAAGATATACACAGGCACGGTTTCTTTCATTTTTTTTTGTATACATCCTTCTACTTTTCAAAATTAAAGGAAGGACCTGCACAAATGGTTAGAAACAAATTTCATTTTTCGTTTTTAGCCATTTACCTCCATTCCATGCATTGAGGACTCACTTTCAGGGACCTTGTAGTGTTTTAGAGCCTTTTTCTTTTATATAACAAAAATAGAAAGGGACCAGTCTCCCGTTAAACTCTGGCTCTGATGGCTCTACATGTCCACTGCACGAGGCACAAAATTCTCCCTATGCTTCCTTCGCCAGTGCCTCACCGCCTGAAGGTTGTATCTGTCTACAACACAAGATGTGAATGAACTTGAATGAATCAGCTGTGGATTTCAAATAAATCCTCTTTTCAAGTAGGCTTCTCTTGTAAACTTTAGTTTAGTATAATCCAGTATATATGTTGGCTGGCTACGTAGGCTATCCATTGAATTTGTGTCAATCAACTATATCAATTTATTGCATTCTAAAAGTTTTGGATCATACAGAATAGGGAACCTAAACACTGTTATTAAATGTTTGTCCATGTTGTCCAGGCAGAACCATGCACATCCTCAGTTTTCAAAAAGCTGAAGGTCAAGCAAACACTTCTTGCTGCTGCTGGCTGTATCACCACCATTTGTGCATATTTTTTCAGTACTCTTATTGAAAATGGGGGCCAAAATTCTGGATGATGAATTTGTGCACTGGGCTTGTACCACTCCTGAATTGATAGAATTAAGTACTGTGTAGGAAATACAACCAATTAAAGCTTTAGTATCCTATCTCCTTTAAAGTATATGAGCAGCGCGGAGTGGCGTGACTTTACTCAGAGCACGGACAGGCTTTTCAGGAAGTTGGAGCATCAGTGTTCTCTCTCACTCTGAAATCACTCCAATACCGCCCCACCTCACAAGCCAGACAGTCCCTTTTGTTCCCACACTGACTACCTCAGCATGACATGAGTGATGTGGCAGCAAGACTGCTACAGATCACACACGACGGCCATTTAGACACAGCATTTGTGCTGCAGAAGTGTTCAGCAGGTTTTATACCAATTGGTTTTATACCAGTTCTCACCAATTGCAACTTCTACAGATAATACGGACCATTAGTCGTATGTCGCCCATTTTGCTGCGAGATTGATAAAGAAGATTGTGTTAAAAGCATGTACATTTGTTTACCCTGGGCAGATCTCTGGATTTGGGCTGTCAAGATTGGGCCATCATTTCAAGCCTATGCACCGCACCACACCACATTTGCAACTGCAGTGGTTAAAATCTGATTCGATTCAATTAGTTACACGTCAGGCCAACACAAGTTTGTTAATCTGTAAAAAGGATGCAAAAAAATCTTCAAGGCAAGCAGCCACTGTGCCCACAAGCTCTGTATTTTCAGTTGCCAAAATGTGAAATGCTGTGACCAGTGGCACCAGGCAATAAGCATTCTCCCTGAGAAATGTCTGCATATCAAAAACAAAATCAGATGCTCTCTAGCACACGCTACAGTTTTCACCCCAAAAATATGTAAGCCTTCTACATTTCTCTCTCTCATCCACACACATACACACAAAATGTGCTGGTATGCATGCGCACTCGAGCATTTCGCTGTGAGCATGAATCCTGGGTATGTGTGACCCAGTTAAACTCCCTACAATGCCTTCATGTGGCCTGAATAACTGATAGCACCCAGAGGTGTTGCTACCCTCCCCAGGCTACCCACACAGAAGCTACAGTTATCAGACTTTAATTTGGCTCTAAGAAAAAGAAGCACTGAAACAGATGCAACATTTCTCCTTTCCTTGAACGTGAGATTGAGTGATAAACAGCTTGGTTTAAAACTGACGTCCTGCCTCCTACCTGCTCCTGCCACTGCTCTCCCATTGGTCTGGAATGGATTGGTTGGGACAGCAGCCTGTGGCACAGCAGGAGCGACAAAGGGATTTGTAGATGGGCCTACAGGACAAACAAAACAAACATATATTATATTTTCGACACCTAATGATGGATAGTGTCTGTGACTAGATTTGTCATGACACCAACATTTTGGTAGTCAATACCAACACCAGCACCATCTTTCATTCATAAATTATATTATTAAATCCACAATGACTAGCTATTCAAATACAACCTTAAGTGTATAGCGCACAAACTTTACCATGTCTAAAGACAAAAGAACTGGTAAGGCCAATGAACCAGAGTGAATGGAAGGAGAACATTCTTCCACCAGACATCACAAGCTTGAATTGGTTTGGGTTTGTCTGATACGTGTGCAACTCAGAGATATCACGTCATGATAAAGGCCAGCGTTCTCAAGCAAAAACAGAACAAGTGGGCCTCCATTTTGTGCTGCAGACAACAATGTTAGGACCAAACACAGTCAGGAGGAAGATCTCAAAACATACACTGGTTAAGAATTCTATTTAGCACCCAGAGCAAATGGCTGCGCTTTTCTGGCTCTGCTTTGAAATGTCGTTTTCTGTATAATTAAATAATACCGATGAAAACAGTCATTCAGAGTTTGATGCAACAGACATATAAATGAAAGAGTAGGGAAGTAAACTTCAGCTTAGTATCTTAGGACAAACACTTTTCCCCCCTTAATAATACTTTAAGGTCAAAGCATTATTAGATGTGGAAAAAACTAAATCAAAGAAATACATCACATGAAATGGTTACATATCTATGTCTGACATATTTTGTTAGTAGTTTTGAGATAAGGTTTTGGCTTAAAACATTTATGCTCTAAGCCAAAATAGTACCACTCACTTGAAGAAAAAAAAAAAAATAAATTAACAATATTAAACTGTAATCAATGTGTCATTTCGAAGTTAATAAATGGGAAATAATATGGCAGTAACATTTTTCCACAATGCAAATGACATCCTTTGAGATGTCAATTGTGCAGAAATTTAGAAAAAAACGGGCACCTGTAACCCGATTTTACCAACACCCACCTGTACAAATAAGAATTCTGTAATTAAGTGACATGTCATTTTATCTGTATTACCTGATAACTGATGGCTATGGATAAGGTAGTTTACCACTTTTAAACATAGAACCTGGACTGATGTTGCTATCTGTCTGTCTCTAGTAGGAAGCACAAATGCACACAAGGTGGCGTTACCTGTGAAGCCCTGAGGCATGCTCGGCAGTGACCCCTGCTGTGGCTGTGAAGCAGATACTCCAGTAGAAGCTCCAAACACAGTCCTACAGAGGGAGACAGAGTGAGAGAAATGACCCATGCTGTGCCTTAACACCAGTAGTCACACAGTCAATGCCATATCATTTTAGGGCAAAACAGCTGACTGATAACTTGATTAAATTAATAATTAATAAAATAACCTAACAAAGATTGTAAAAGTAATTTATCACGATAACGATAAAATATCGTCATCTTGCCCAGTCCTACATTCAGGACGCTAAAGTTGCAAAATACATAGTCTTAAAATAATCAGCATGTCCATTTTTAGTTTGTATGCTGCAGTGACTCCTTCAGTGAAGAACTGAACCATTTACAGAATACAGTTTTCACAGTGATTAGCCAATAATGCATCAAACACCACATGAAACATGAAGATTATAAACAAAGAACATCTTTTCGTGCAAACTTGGCTGCTTTTTGAAAGATATTAAATGACAGTCATTTAAAACACTGAGTGCGTTCACATGCACTTAATCTGATCGCTGTCCCAGAAATCGCAAGCAGCGTTTAACACAGCACACGCAAGATGGCAAACAAACACTTCTTAAGTGAAAGAGTTTATTGGTGGGTTGCAAAGCAGAAATGCAATTACTGTCTGACTCACGCAGACCCAGAGTTTTCTCATTATCTGATTACCCTAATGCATGTAAAAGCATTTAACAAATTTCTGACAAAAACAGATTATTAAAAGCATGTAAATGCACTCACTGTATTGCAGAAGTAACTGAAATGTGACCTAAATACAATCAACCATTCTGGATTAAGTATCTGTAGTCTATTCATTTGTACTGTTTGAGATATTTTTAGTACAGGGAGAATATCTTATGTAGCAAACAGTGGAAATGCTGGTCCACTGCAACACAATCTCAAACCAAATAGAATTACCCTGAAAAAACATCCTATTTTCAGTGCATGAAGGACAGTGCATCCTTGTGTCGTGGGCTATATTATTAAGGAAAGCAAGCCGCATCTTTGGATTAACCATAGCTAAAACAGCAAAACACATCTGAAGAAAACAAGAGTTCAGCCAGCACCAGTTCCTGACAGATAAGCAGATAAGCAGCTGTTGGCAATGATGTGAAAGGCCATCAAGCAATACTAAAAGTAACGGTAAAAGTGTATAATGTTAGAAGTTTGTTACCTGACTCGGGTCAGGCTGCCGATTGTTTTCTAAGTGATTCTTTCAATTCACTTAATAAGAGGGATGTGTTGGGGTTGGTCAAAAGATTACTGGATCTTTCCCTTTGATTGTTAAGTATGCCTGAAATGTATTCTGCTTTATTGAATGAATTTTTTTCATTTTGCTGCCTAACTCAGCCCAGTCTGGGGACAGCCATGGGTTTCGTGCCTTAGATTGGGGGTATACCCATTCAGTCCTGGGATTTGAACTCACAACTTTTCAGTTGCTGGCTCACATCCCCTACCATTAGGATACTGGCCACCCAACCAGCTAATAAAAGCCAAAAACAAAACAAATAAACAAAAAAAAAAAAACTGACAGCTGACATTTTCTATGGGTAATGGTGGTAAAACTACATAAGTACATGCTCTTAACCCTGGATGTTTCTGGTGAAATAGAAGCTACAAGTGTGTGTGTGCTGTTATGTCTCTGTTAGTGTGTTGTTGGCACTGCTGATATTACAGGTGTACATGCTGTTGCTCCTGAGTACTGGCAGCGTTAAAGCCACAGGTGTGTGTTGTTGAAACTGCTGAAAGCACAGGTGTGTGTGTGCTGTTACCCCTGGGTATTGGTGACAGTGTTGAAACTGCTGGTGGTGGAGGATGGGGAGCTGAAGACGTTGTCCAGGGCAGCCAGTGCAGCGTAGCGATCGCCTCCCAGCATGGCAGCCTGTGGAGGGGGCGGACCCACACCTGCAGAGGGAGGAGCTGAACTTGCACCACTAGAGCCTGAGCCTGTGCCTGAGAGAGAGAGAGAGAGAGAGAGAGAGAGAGAGAGAGAGAGAGAGAGAGAGAGAGAGTTTGAATATTTTAATACAATGTGAAAAACAAATGTATTGTCCAATGGCCATACTAAGCTTTAAAATGAGCTGTTTTTAATTGAAGAAGTTCTCTGAAGTTGTGCATTTAGAAGTATGTTATTATGCTCAAACTACTCCAACAGTTCCACAGGAAGAAATACACAGCTAACATCACATGCTATTTCAAGATAGATTTATTACAGGATTGTTTCTTCTCACTGACATCTGAGATGATGTCAGCCTGATATTGACACTTATCGATACAGATATGCCATCTCTAGTCATAAACAACTGACCTTAAAAAATTGAGCAGGCTTAAAATTTTGAACAGTGCTTAAGGCCAACTTCACATTACAGGGCTGAAGAGGCACAAATGTGACACAGACGGGATATTTTAAGAGCTGTGTGACTGTAAAAACCCTCTCAAATCAGATCTGATCACCCCATAGGTGGTCCACACACGAATACGTCATTTATGACCATGTCTATTCCACACAGAGAAACGAGGGACAAATTTCTTGTCTGATTACAGCTTAACAGGGCTGTCAGACGGAATCAGAAATCAAATTCGAATTTTTTTCAAGAAAATAATAAAGAAGATAAATAAATAAATAGATAAATAACTGCAGTCAATGATAGGTTTCCAAATCAATGTTATGTCTCTGAAATCTACCAGGGGGCACTCTGAACGGTTCTGAAATATCTTTGTGAAGGATTCTTCCACAAAATCCCAACAGCGATTACATCCCATTGTCATTATAAGTGAAGGTGAAGTATACAGATGGCGACCCAAATACATTCTGTTCCATTTTAACAATTCCAAAGAGAAAATCATCTGTATTCTTATGAATAAACAAGCGCACAGTGTCACTGGTGCAAAGCATCATTCTTTCATATTGACCTAAACCTTGACTCTAACCAAGTCCATGAAAACCAAAAATTGGTTTAACATTGACATATTTGATGCCTTATTTGAATACTTGAATAAGTAAACAAATGCTATGATTAGCTCAGACGTCCATCCTCTCACCACCCCCTCCAGGCTGTTTCAGACCTGTGGGAAGCCCTGTATTTGGCATGGAACATAGTAGGAGTTGCAGCAAAGATAGCTTTATACATTTCAAAGGACTTTTCATGTAAATAAGCCTTTTTCCTTATTCTAATGTCATGTTTTTGGCAGCTCTACAGCCTAAGGCTTGTAATGTGAACAGAGCCACATATCCACTCCACATATTACCCTTAAAAAGTGGGTTTAGTAATCACGGAGCAGCATTGTGTAAGCACTTAATTGCCTACCTTGATCAGGTTTGACCGAGCTGAAGATGTTGTCCAGATCAGCGAGCGCGGCGTACCTGTCCGCAGGTACAGCGGAGCCCTCGGCTTTAGCCCCACCCCCAGTGCAGTTAGTCTGGGAGCTGCTGTATGAGGCGAAGTCGGCACTACATGACTTGGGGAAGTTGTCAAAGTTTGCAAAGTTGGCATTGGCCAGCCCTGACGAGCCACCTGTGGGAGAGTGACATAAATGGTAAGAAGAGAAACTGGAACAGAGGTGTGTGTGTGTAAAAGTGTCCTTCAAATGACACTTCTCAGAAGGTTGAAAGCACATCCAAATATAGGAAACCTACATTTCGGCAAAACTGCTCCAAACACACACACGCACACTAAGGTCAGGCGTTCTGATTACTTATCATTAACATGACAAATTTAGGGCTGGCACAAACAGCATTTTACAGGCTGCAAATACTCATTTGGTCTCAATCACCTTTGAAATACAACATTTGAAACTTTTCTTTTCAGTCGTCTGTCCGACGGAACAGAAACGCTTCTATTATAGCCACTGTTTCAGTCCACACCGGCAGCTCTAGAAGTTAGGGCTGGGCGATAAAACGGAAAAGATCATTATCGCGATATAACTTGTCCTCGATAGAGCGATATGACAAGTTCGATAAATGTACGATATAATACACCGTTCTCACACCTCCACGTTCTAGCAAAAGCCTTGGTGGCGTTTTCTACTGCAAGGAAAGCGACACTACTCTGCTGTCGCCAGGAGAGGGCGCACTTCCGAGTTTTTCTACATGATTAGAGAGGGAGGGGGCCACGAGTAAGATGAGTCTTTAGCAACGGCTGAAACGCGGAGTTATACATTCCCTGTTCGAGTGGAGCGACCGCCGATCTGTTCTCCTGTGACCGAGTGTGAGTGACGAGGTCAGTGGCGTAACTATACTGTCCTACAGCGAACTCACCTCTTTCCGTACAACCTAACCAGCTTTAGCAGCGTTAAATCACAATCACAATCCTCACAACTGATGCTCCATCATCACCGTTTTCAGTTTAAATGTACCTAAAAGGAGGACTCTGTTTGTCTGGTGTTGATATTTTGCGGTTCACCACTTAAACTACTACGATAGTATAGAGAAATCCAGTCGTTACTAGCTGGTGTCTGAATACTGTGATGTCATTTGTAGTGGGGTAGCCGAGCGCTCGGCACCAGCTAAAAATAATCTGTTTTCTTTCTTAAATTATGACTATAAACTAAATAGCCATGCTTTTCCAGCTGGTAAAAACAGCTCACCAGACATTTTCTCCCACTCTCCCATGACAGATTTGTGAAATGTTCCACTGTTTGGTGAGGGTTTGTTGTGTTCTGACCATAAAGGATAGTTTAAAACAGCAATTAACCACCCAGGAGCAAAAATCAGCCTTCAAACTTGAAAGAAATAATGATTTGACATTTATCACGGTATGTATCGATATCGAACGATATGAATTTTGTTTATCGTGATAACATTTTTGGCCATATTGCCCAGCTCTACTAGAAGTGTGTTTTTCTTTCCTGTTTCAGTGAGGAGAGACATTCTTTATTCAAGAGCGCTTGGTATCTGGCATCTCAACAGCCAGTCTGTGTTCGAAACGCGCTCTGTCCATCTGTACTTTGCAGTCTGCCATCATGCAACAGCCCAGTCTGTATTCGAACAGTGCTCTGTCATCATCATGCAATCTGTGTATAATGCTAAAGCAAGGCCTACAAGTTTTTTTAGCCCACTTTTAATCCTGATTTGCCCCTTCTGACAAATTTTTACAATCTGAACTTATTCTCCAGGTGGGGGGCTCAATCGGAAGCGACTGACTGAGCAGATGATTTAGTGGTTAGAGTGGAGAACCTAGTCAATCTCGGAGTGATCAGAGGCCCTATGATATTTTCAAATGTTTGATTTTCAGGACTTAAAAGTTCTGTAGTGTGAAAAGGTCAGCGATGTAACTGAATGAGTGATTGAGGCAACAGCTAATTAGAGCTAGAAGACAGAGGGAGAGACAGAAAAAAAAAAAAGTTAAGAGACGTACGCACTCTGCCCCACATGAACAGCAAAGACAGAGGAGCTGCTTGTTGAATTTCAAGTGAGCTGCCAGTTTAAAAATTATTTCTCTAGCTCTGACTGTGATATCTTCGTTTCAACCCCATATTTGTCCCCAGTTTGCACTTCCACTGTGCTTCTTGTGTGTGCATAAAAGCATAAGCAGGTCCGGTCCAGCTTAGCTTTGTTTGTGTTACATGATAACAGTGAGATCTGGGATTCTGAAGACTTCAAAGTGTTCCCACAAGTGATTTCTTAGGAATTTTTGCGCTCTTAGCTAACTGCGGCTTAAGGTTGGCTCTTTTCCCAAGGTGTAGACAGTGAGGAGCTAAGGAACCATAAAAGCACAGAGGCACACAGTTACCTGTATAGTGCAAAAAAGGGATGGTTTTGTATAGCAAACACAGCGACTTCATTTTTTTTGTTTAAAGTTGATACAGAGCCAAGTCAGAGAAAGTGGAGTGGTGTGGTATTATACATCTATACCTCTACAGTTCGAAGTTCAAACAACAACTAAATCTCTCAGTTGCTGGGGCATCCAACAACAGCTCACAGCCCAAGCTCATCTGTGAACCCTGTAGTCTGTACCAGAGCATTTTTCCCACTAGAAATTCTCTGGTTAACACTACTGGAAAAACCAGCAAACAGAAATAATGAGGTATCATGGCAGCCCTCAGTGAATTTTCAGAAAAATTGAGGATAGATTTTGGGGGTTTTTTTTTTGTTTTAAATGTATAATACCAATGTAATTTGTTAAGGAAAACCAACATGATGCATACTGTGTATTGTGAAAATGCAGAGTAATGTTATATTTTTTGCCATACCCCCCACCCTTAATGCACACGCACATACACTCTTAACAGCCCGATACAATAAGCAAGAGAGAAAAAGGGCACTGCACCTCATTATCAGACAAGTGCAGAGACCTGCTGGGTGGAGACGCACACACACACACACACACACACACACACACACGCTGCACACAAACGTTCACTCAAGGGCATCTCATGAGATAAGCAGCTGAATGAAACAAACGTCTCAAAGCCAAAAGACGAGCGCAGCTCACAAAGGCGCACACACATGCATGACTTACTGTGAGTGGCCAGTAGGGGCAGCGCTGAGGGGAACTCTCCCACACTGCGACTGGATGGAAGAGTGGAGAACACTGGGGCGCGCGCACACAGGCAAATGAATGAACGAGAGAGCGCATGATAACAAGAAGACCAGAGAAAACAGAAGAAAAAAGAAAGAAAGCGTGAAAGTAATCAAAATTAAGATTTAATTAAGGTTAACAAAGGGGTTTAACCAATAAGCAATAAGGGTGGAAATAAGAGGAAGCAGTGCAATGGAAAAGTGAAGTGACAGATAAATTAAAAAAGCCAATCAGAGGCAATGAAAGTGTCTAGACCCACCCACCAAATGCACAGTTCCAGTGCTGAAGCGGACTGGATTTCAGTTTTAAATTCTAATGTACAGGGAAAGGCACTACGGTACCATTCAGACAGCATTAACCACATGATTAATGCTGTGATTAAGAAAAAGCACTGCAACAGCGATATGAGGGACAAGACGGTGCAGGACGCATTCACAGAAACACACACTTTCACACTCTTTACCATTTGTGTGGCTGATGTGGCTGTTAGAGTAAAAATGTAGGTGGAGCTGATGAGAACACAGTGTGTCTATGTACATTTGCATGCTTGTTTGTTTAGGAAGAAATGGTACTTGTGGAGTTGTTGGGAGAGAAATGTGCATGTGCTCGTCAGTGCTAATCAGATTTTACTGTGATATGAGGGTCTGCAATGAATACGTTGTTAAGGGCTGTGTTAAAAGAACGAATTAAACAACATTACACATGCAGTGTGAGAGTGATGCAATCAGACTGACTGGAGCCTTGTCAAATATTAGAGCAGTGGCGTCGTCCCGTGAAGAAGGCTAGACACCCAGTCTCCCGGTGTATAGTGAGTAACTTAATCACTCTCCTATAAAGCCAACTTTAAAGCACACAAAAGCTCAAAACTACTATAGCCTTAACTAACTAGTCAGTACAAAAAAATAAAAACCTAGACCTAGACTTTCATTTATTTAATTACCTGTTATTTATTTTTCAGTGTCGGACAAAGAACAGAAAACACATACTTAACAGAACATTACATACTCTGACACTACGTATAATAAATATACATTATTTAATTTGCCCATTCTTTACTTTTGTGCACGGTACTGCCACTTCAACTCTTCCATCCTTCCCATCTTAAATCCAAACCAAATCACAGCTGCATCCTCCCAAAGAAAGTTGTTCCCAAAGGAGTCAGTGAGATTACGTTCCCCTTCAAAAAGACAGTCACCTAATCAACGATCCAAACAAACCTCAGCTAAATTGAAAATTTCTTTCTTAAATGTGCATCTAAAAGGCTTTAAGGAGATATTTCTGAAGAGATCAGATATAAAAATCAATTTGTGAAGATAGTAAAAGTCAAAAACTAGTTCAAAAACTAATTAAAAGCTACCCAGAAAATGGGACTCCTTACAAAAAGACCTGGTAGACCACCAAACCAGATGAACAGTATATAAAGCTTTGAGGGGGAAAAATATATATCAAGCTCCACTATCAAATATTTAAATTCATCTGTTCATCCTTTCTCTCTGAGAACACTGATATGGGTCTGAAAGGATGTGTGGCTGTCTAGACGTTACTGAGACAAAGAAATGGGCAAAAAAAGAAAATCTGCACCAAAAGACCAAATCTGGACATCTGATATAGTAAGTAAGGTTTTATGGAGTGATGAGTCTAAACTTGTAATTGGGATAATTTGGATAGTGAGACGAAAAGGCAACCAACCTCTAAGACTGGATGAAAGTTGCAATAAAGGCAAAGGTCAGATACACTAATTACGGAAGTATTTGATATTATATTTAGTTTCAGCTTCTGCGTAATACCCAGTTAAATCTATTTCTGCTTTCCTGACAGTCAAAAATGAATACTGGACTCAACAGTTGTTTTGACTGGAAACTAAATAAATGCAAAGATGGTTTCTGGCTTTTGCGCAGTACCTTCTTTTTGGGTTTTGTAGGCCTATATAGAAAGGCGGTCCAGGGAAAGTACGAGTACGAGTATAGCTTACAGTGCACAAAAATGTGCTGGCAGTTAAAGCAGCTAAGAATCAGCTATTACTATCCTTTTTCTTTTTACACTTTGAATAGGGCTTTTCTAATTCAGCATTTTCTGCTATTTGCTTAACCCACCTGTTATCCTCAATGTACTGACATATTTTAACCTTGGGGTCCATTTTACCCCAGCAATTTAAACCTAAAGGAAATATCAATGTTCTGGTGGGAATTATGTTTTCCCCTCCCCTGTGTTGTGTGAACTACAAGTCGTTCTCATATGACTACAGGTACAGTTACAGGATAGGGCCCAAAGGAGAGGAAGTTTTTTTTTGAAGAGTAAAAAATTGCATGTTATAGTGACCTCAATATCATCATCCAGAACAAGCAAAACAAATGTGTGTTGATATTTCATATGTTTATACAGCTAAAACAGCTTGGGGTCAAACTGACCCCAAAGAACACTGATGTGTATAAAATGTGTACAGGACACTGAAAACATTTTGTATGTTGTCTCCATTAATTTAGGAAAGGTCATGAAATATGAAGCAAAAATAAATAAATAAATACATAAATAAAAAAAGATCAAGGTCAATCATTTATTTAGACATGTTACACTGAATGAAAACTGACCCCAAAGATAATAGGAGGGTTAAAGAAAAAGATAGATTTCTGTTTGATTACACAGGGGAAAAAAGTCTGCATTTTAATTTTAAATTATCCAACAATTTTATTAAAAATCATGTTATATATCCATATTGCACTGCCCTACTGTGTGTGTGCACATTTGTGCATGTAAACTGTTACAGGGCTGCTGAAAACCCAGTGTGTGATGTTTGTGTAAAATGACATGGTGCTAGTGGGACTGCTGGGAATGCTGTGTGTGTGTGTGTGTGTGTGTGTGTGTGTGTGGTGTGTGTGTGTGTGTGTGTGTGTGTGTGGTACCTGTTTGTGCAGGCTGAAATGATGCTTGTTGTGGGGCTTGGGGAAACGCAGCACTCGGTGGTGCAGCAGCAGCAGCAGCAGGACTCCCAAATGCATCAAAATTTGCAAAGTCTGCGCTAGCATTAGCATTCTGTGATGCTGGATTCCACAACAAACACACAAACAAACATACAAACAAACACACAAACAAACAGACAAACAAACAGACAAACAAAGGAGAGTTGGATGAGGAATGAGAGATGGTAGGAACATGATGGCCGTTATTCATCAAAGCAGCGTTTGGTCAAATCTGATCGTAAAATGAGCACATGCAGTTTTGACTGACAGTTTTGCTATTCCTCAATTTCACCTTCGGTGTATCTGTACGGTCAAACTCATGTCAACCTGAAAAAATGCTTGATTTGTGGTTAACTGACAAGACTACTATCAGTATCATCTATCATAACAATAATGAGAATAAAAATAGAAAATAACTTCTAATAATTTATCCACATGGAAAACCAGTACAAAACTGGATATACTTAGTTCAAATGCTCTCTGGATTAAACAAACTATGCCATATTCCACTTTACTACACTGTACTTTTGTTTTATACTACTCAAAAAGACAAAAAAAATAAATAAATACAACACATGGCTACCGCAGAAATATCTTACACACTGCAATAATATTTCTATTTTAATAAATATTCACACTGCAAATTCACAATATTCTACCGTCTTAAGAAACTAAAACGTTTTGTTTCTCACACATTTTCCTTTCTAGTCATAATAATAACGCTATAAAGTTTGGTCAGTAAGGGGAGCTTTGCACTCATTGCTCGACCTCAAATCCGCCTATGAGCACAACCTTTAGCTCACGACTGGGTGAATACTGTTTTATTGGCTCTCTACTGAAACATCTGCATAAATAAGGCCAGGCTTCATGTAAATTATATGTTAATAAGGTGCTGGTAGGCTGGCACTTGATTTCATGCACTGATGCTGACTCATCATTCGTACTCAAATCTCCGCTTGCTTCCAGGTCGTACAAAAGTTTCATGAGTTAGGTGCAGTGTTGTTCGAACGTCATTAAAAGTGGTTAAATCTGTGCTCTTTTTTACGCAACTCAAATGAATAAGGGCTAATGGGTTTAACATCACAGCTTCTGAACTATTGAAACAATAAGAATGGATATATACTCGGTTTCTTAAAACAGACTGAACTGAGATGGAATCACTGATGTAGACAGATGACACAAAAACATAAACGGATGATAATGAGTTATGACAGCATGGTGTATAAATGTGCTTTGCTCAAATTACCAAAAAGTAACAGTGCAAGGGGAGATGACAAAACACACACTAACGCCCCTTGGTGCATGGACAAAAAGGAAGATGTACTTGCACACATACTCGAACGGCAAAACTGACTCCAACAATGTCCCATAAAGATGCTCACAATAATGTGTCTCTGTAGTGACACTAAAAGTGTGTGTGTTCCAGTGCTAACTTCTATTAATGCTGTGGTGACATTATCCTTAAGGTAGTACAACAGCCACCATCAGCTTCACGTCACAGGCATTTTGGCAGTCATGTTGGAGAGTTTGTGGGTTGAAATCAAAGCTTCCTTGGGATTCTTTTAAATGGGCATCGCAGAACTTCAAACTTACCTGGTCAGCACAGTTGCTTCTATCATAATTTTAAATGTGTCTACACAACCAAGTGTGACTGAAAGAAACCCTTTTGTTTACCATCATTCCATGGAAAGTGTAAGAAGCAATGATGTGTGCTGGTGCACATCCCATAAATGCCCAATCACGTTAGCATTTGCAAGTGATATTTCACAAGTGAAATTACTTCAGTTTCAACAGTATTAACCATAATAAGCTATTTCTTTTCGCTTTGACTTCCAGGAGGAATCCATTTTGTGAGTGAAGTTCAATTAAACATTTTGGCTGTGCTGACCCCTGAAAGGTCACCTTTCATACAGCAGCACCGCATAACAAACACTGAAGAAACACTAATTAACCAGTGTCTAAGCACAAACCTTTTAACATTTCTTTCATACTGGCTCTAAACAAATACATAAAAGACACATAAAAGACTGTATGACACACAGTCAGTCAGGAGACTATTTTAATATTTTAGTACAATAACTACTGACGGTAGGCGAATAAGCCAGCTTACTAACTTATGTTAGCTCTTTGGCTGAGCGCAGCTGCACACAAGCCACCAAAATAAAGTTTCACGTTTTTTCCAACACTCACTTCACTGGTTTTTATAGCACAAAAATGCCTAGACAATAGTAATTAGACACTGTTGGAAACTATACAATATTAGTTATACAGCTATCCGTACAACTCTTCCATGGCTTGTTTCATGCATAAGACCCTGACTGTGGCCTCATTTAATGCAGCAGACCAAATTAGGTAGGTCCCTCAGGTGTCATGTTAGGCTAAGGCTTACCCCCAAAGACTGGCCATTCTTTTATGCCCACTGCCATGAAAACAAAGTAGACTACTTCACATGTAACAGACTAGACAGCAGGAGGAGATTGAGGTTCTGCTGCGTTCTTATTGTCATTTGAAACGTGACAAACATCCCTGGCTCAGTGGCTCAGCTAGAGAGGCTAAGATTAGAGCTGTTTTCACAGTATACATGTTAACTTTACCTGCTCACATTTGTTGCATACTAGTATAATGGTTCTGAGATTACTCAAAACACAGGAAACACATCAACCAGTAAACCGGGGGTGTACACGCCATGGGCTCTGAACACTATGCTTACCCATGAACCCCTTCTTTGCGTCTTTGTGCAGATACACGCATGTGCATCTTTGCAGAAGGATAAAAAAGACAGATATATAAAGAGAGAGACTAGTTAAAATGTGTTCATGACTGTGAGCCTTTTTACCTGGATGGCTATTGAAATGTGCGAAGTTGGCGAAGTTTGCGCCGCCTGGGGACTGAGAGGATGGAGCCGCAAAGATGTCTCCGCCCAAATCGCTGAGTAGATCAAACTTTCTGTCCTGCTGAGTCAACTGAGTACGCGACACTACAGGGGACTGAGAGGGACAAAACACGCAAGCAAAAAACAAAACTTTTCAGACAGAGCAAGGGAAATTACGGTGAACAGGGAGAGAAAAAAAAAAACATTCACAGAACACACTTTAGTGAGGACAGAGAGGCAAGCAAGAAAACAGACAAATGTGTGTGTAGCTGTAAATAACAGTCATGCATATACTGTATGTAGAATACCAAAATGGTTCTATGTTTGACATCCTGCACTAGACAAGATTTAAAATCCATGTCCTACCAAGACAGTAGGAGCCATTTCAGATATAAGCAAAGAGGATAACTGCGTGGAAAGTATGGCTGCCATGACTTTTTGTATAAACTTGATTGTATTCAATCATGGATAAAAAGGACCCTTCCAGCTAATTATGCAGCATTTATCTGGAAATTTGCATGATAACGCATAATTTAAAGCCTCTTTCAGAATTCACCAACATTAAAAAAGGGCATGACTGACACACTAACTTTTTTTTTTTGGCAACAATCTTTTTAAGGGTTTTCTTGTTTATCTTTTCACCACAAAGTATGCATGGTTTGTATCTGTCTAGTCAAGTACTTGCTTATAATATTTTTAAGGTAAGACACTACAGGCAGAAATGATTTTGGTCTCGACAACCATTTTTCAGATTTTGTGGACAAACTGAAGCTAACATGTCTCCTCTTAAACTGTAGATTTAACTGTAGACAAGATTTCAATAATCTTCTGTAAAATTCTGTCTTTTAAGTTTATTTCACAATGAAATAAACATGTTGATTCCAACATTATCCAAAACACTAGATTTTTATTCTTTAATGTAGATAATGTTTCATTAATGTATAAAAGAATTCTGATTAACAAACATACATACTGTAATAGTATCAGTAATCAACTGGCAATGATTCGTTGCGATAACTTTTGTTTTGAAACATTACACTGTTCACCTGTGGTGTCTCACCTTAAATCTTGATTAATCAACACAACAATAGTAGCTTACTGGACTACTAATATAACAGACAATGATCAGCAAATGCTGTTGTTGTGCTTCATCTACAGTTGAGTGTGTTACCTGGCTAGGTGTGTTTCTGCTGAGGTGCAGGGTCGGTGCTGTTTCTCCCAGCAGGGTTTTGAGGGGCCGCACCTCTGGAGTACTGCTGGTGCTGCTGGCTGACGAGCCTGAAATCGAAGCATGGACCGAGGCTACCACCTTAGCCTGCTCTGGAGGAACATACCTGACAGAAAAAGAGAGGAAAAATAAAAAAGTTACAAGGTTTTCCAAGGGTTATTGCATGCCAAACTGAGGCCTGGCAGGTCATTTAATTGATTTCAATTCCAAAAAAACAAAAAAAATGCTAATTTTCAAATAAATCAGGTATGAAATCAGGTTCTAAAACACATTTTAAATAATAAGTTTAAATCTTTATAGAGGTATATTAACACTAAGAATAACAATTTAAACTATTTTGTCCACACAACAGGTTAGTTTATTATAGGGTATATTTTTTATATCAGAGCAAAAAATCTTTCATTACTGAAATTTCATCGTTGGGGTTTTTTGGGCTTCTTTTTTTTTTAATGGAAATCCATTTTCCATTACATGATCTGCCAGGTCCATATTCTACACATAAGTATGTCTTGTCCTTGCTCACCATCTCTTCTTCTCATATTTTTCCTGGAGGAATTCTTTGACTTTCTGGGGTTCCCTGAAGTCCGGGATGGCTGAGGTTCTGTCATCGTACAAGCCCAACCATATCTGTTTGCATACCTGCATGAGCGTACAGCCAAGTAGAAGAAAGTAAAAAGAAAAGAGATGGAAAAATATTTTTGTAACACCGAATTCTCACACTTTACCAAAAACATGACACCAGGCTGACAGTAACAGCTTCATTCACTGTGACAAAATGGCTAATCTGTATATGATACATGTTCTCTCCTAAAAATGACTGAAATTTACATAAACTCATAAGCAATTAGTTTTCTAAAAGACTTAAAACACAAACTTACTCTATGCGTCAAATCTCTCAAACCATTTCATCAGCTACATAAACAAAGACTCCTTTTCCAAAATTCTTCACTGATCTCAAAACAGGTTGCAGAGCGTTTTGTACAAAACTCGTGCACACACAAATCCCTCCTTAAAAGCACAGCACATGCTCGTTTACGTTTAGCATGAACACACAATAAACTCCAGTCATCCAAACATGAACTCAGTTAACAACAAAGGTGGACAATTTGATGACATTATATCATTATCATGACAATTTTTGTTATCGTGATATATAACATGTATTTCTGAGCATATTGTGGATTTTATCTGTACTTAAAGATCACTGACCAACTGCACGCGTCATTACAAAGAAAGCAAAATTAGGCCTGTTCAACTGGATTTAGAGCAGTACAGTATGTTTAATGTGGAATAAAAATAATTGTATTTATTTAATATCTTATTAACACACAGTTCTACAGGTTTAAACACTATGAAGCAAAACCGTTCACACAGCAATCAAAACCTGGTAAATACAATTTGATTAAACTAGAGCTGTCAAAATTAATGCTGCAAATTAGCAACACCATTTTTTTAAACACTTAAGAAGCAGGAAAACATTTTTTCCTATTTTGACCCTTTGGTAACCGTAGCTGAAGCCCAGCTGCATGTTGCTACGACAGAATCTGTGCATGTAGCCCTCTCGTTCAAGCTTTTACGCAGACTACACTCGACATGGATAAATGAACAAGCAGCGGAAAACTACAGTTCCCCTCAAGAGCTTCCACTGTAAAAAGCTGTATGAACGAGAGCAAGAGGCTGCAAAATAGGAGAGGCAGAGGAGTCAGTACCACTGGTCTGTTTTCGACAGTAGAGCTGACTGGTTCTCAGCATGGGCCACAGTTTTAGGGCAAAAGAACCGCTCAGTGTGATAACATCATAACATAGCTATTGCTCGCCGTCATCTCAAAACCAAAAACAAATAAGTTTAGCTTGCTTACACTGTAACCAGTTAAATTTTAGCAGTGCACGGCTTTCAGTTCACCATTCAATAAATGTCAAACCATCTATCTAATGACAAATGTTAACCAGTGCTGCTAACTAGCAGAGAAGAGCTTTTGAGCATTAGCTTAGCATGCTAACAGCTCTGGCCACCTCAGAACAGGTTCGATTTTGGCAAAAACAACGCAAGTTTAAATGTTAATGTCTCTAATTTGAGGAACCAAAGTCAAGCAGACGAAACCTGGTGTTGGAGAGACAGAATGCCGAAATCAACCCTCCTCTGCAGTGTTTTGAGCTGCAGCCTAAGGGCTAAGCTAACACTAGCGTAGGTAGAAAGCTAAATGTGCCACCCATCACAGTACAGGCTCAGTTCAAAAAAGTTATGGTCAAATAATACACGTTTAGAAGATAAAGACTCTTAAAATCACTGAGCCACTTGTGTAGTTTTTCTCCAGTAGTTTTGGTTTAGCAGCACAGCAGAGAGACAAAGAAACCGTAAGAGTCCACACCAGAACAAAATGGCACATAAGGCCCTGGGAACCATTAGGCTGTACAGGAAAAACAACCAATGACTATATGTAATATATACACTGTCGCTACTGAAATAAAACCTTGCATCTTTGTTGTTTTTTCTGCCATTTACAAATTTATGATGAATAGACCTATGGAAATGCTCCAAAATCTTTTCTGTAAAATTTGAAAGAATCAGATTGAAAGAGTTAAATGAATCCCAGCGATGAAATTTGATCATGCGACTGAAATTGATCTGTATAATTCTGTAAGAGTACAAGTACACACAATATCACATTTCAAACAAATGATCTTCTGTCTGTACTGTATAGCACATGTACTGCTGAGGTCATGTGCCGCATTCCCGAGACAGGATGCTGAGCAGGAGGAGGAGTATGAATGTGATTTCTTTCATTATGTACAAAGTGTTTTCATTTTTCATTTTTTAATGTCTATAACCAGGAAAGGAAATGTTAATTGATTTTCAAACTTATTCATGTTTATTCGCCTGCACTAGCATATTATGCAGATTTAAGTAGCATAATCAAAATTCATATCTTTTTGTGAGGAAATGTACATGCCTCTTTAATCATTTCAGTAACAGGATTTATAGCAGCATTTTCAAGTGATCTTTAATCTTGATGTAAAATCACGTAATCAAAAGACGAAGGCACGGAAAACTGCACCTGGAAGCAAAAACACTAACAGAATTTGACCCATGCTGGAAGGCTGCAGGGCTCCTTAAAGACCATTCATGGTCCACAACAAGGCCAGCCATTCAGACTATTTTGGAGGAAGAGAGTTGATTTAGAATCTATTTTTTTAAGACCAAAACCCACCATAAGCAGGGGACTAATCTGATCCCAAATCAGCATTCCATACTTTGAAATTCTTCAAGAATATGGGCCCAGACTGGACCAGAGGCAAGAAGAAAGAAAGAAAAAGAGCATTTATGCTGAAAAAAGGGAAGGTGCCAGGCAGAGGAGGGTGAGCGTGAAGCACTGGAAAGCATGTGTGAGAGCATGCAAATGAACTGATAAAGGAAGCAAAACTAAACGAAACCCAGTGCTGCAAGAACCTCTTCTGATCCCACACCTGATGCTGATGTCTATACAGCCGTATTTCTTTGTATATGAAAGGCAAAAAGTGGTCCAAGAACAGTGCTACACTATTTAGCTGCTGCTCACTAGCATATTCTTACAGACAGCGAGTGCTTCATAACCATGGCAACTACCTTTTCCTTAGGGAAGCCCACTCGCATTCTCTCTTTTGGCACCTTTTCAATTCATCTTTGTATTCCCATCATAGACATACTATTGTTTCACCATTATCATTAGCCAGCTTGGCAGGAGAACTAGATTACTTTCTTGCTCTGTAATGCAGTGGAACCTTATTAAGAGCACCTCATTATATTTTCACACTCTTCTTCATCGCCACCTGTATGTGCGTCTGTCTGCGCTCTGAAACAAATACCGAAGGTCTGTACGTACACGACACTGAAGGGTGCAACAGTTAATGTTTTCACTGACTCGCTACTGCCAATAGAGAGGAGTCTAACCAAGCATCGGGACAGTAGCCCTTATTCATCAATACTGCTCGCCTTTAATGATGAACACGTCTGATTCATGAAACAAGCAAAGGTTTGAGCGCAAATGATTAATCAAATAAACAAAGCTCAAGTTTACCTCACCTCATTTACATGTCATTTACATGAAGCAGGCCCTAATTCATGCAGAGGTTTCGGCAGGGAGCCAATAATACAGCAGTATTCAGCATAAGCTAACGGTCATGCTCATAGCCAAAGTTTAAGGACAAGCAAGTGCAAAAGCTCCCCCCACTGACCAACCTTTGTAGTGTTAAACAGCAACAGGAAAAAAAGATAATGAGATAAATATCTTAGTTTTATAAAAACAGTAGATTGATGTGATTATGTAGTGTGATTGTTTTCCTACAACAACATCTAAACCCTATTATTTATTACTACATTGAACGAAACGCTTCTGTACTGGCTGTTTTGTATTTTTTCATTTTTGTCAGCAGCATAAAAGAGAAGTAATTAACCGGAACATGGAATAGCTTTTCTTTATACGAATGTGCATGTAAAAAAAGGTCATCCACTTTTGTATTTGCTTGCCATGCACACAAATTATTAGTATTCATAGCATCTGATGAAGTCACAGAGTGGTTTGTTATGAGATAAAACCATAACCAATTAAGCAAAGGCAGTAAAAGAGTTTTTTTTGTGACTACTCACTTTGTGCAAAAGTCATTTTTAAAGTGTATTAACCAATATATTTGAATGTTCTGCCTTGATTTTATTTGATCAGTTGCTGTAGTAATGAGGCTTTACGTAACAATATCAGAACCCGTTTGGTGCTATGTAGAACTATTTTCAAAGTGGTTCTATATAGAACCACGTATAACACATTCTCCATCAATCTGAGGAACCATTTTACCACGGATCATGAGACTTTAGCTCTCGACTAAGTGGCATACAAATAACTGCAATTAACAACTTAGTCCTTTTTATTTAGTGCATACAACTATTGAAGTACAAGCATAATGTAGCCAAATTGGCTGAGAAGCTCTCTTTCTTCCTAGCCATTCACATTCTGTTTGTTGTGTATAATGACTGTGAAAGCTAACAACTGTGGAAAATAACTTAAGTCAGCTTCAGCACAAAGAACTGTGATTAGGCAATAATTGTGACAGGCCTATCGTCAACCCAGTCCTGTGAGTCGAATCGAATCATAAACTGAGCAACACTGAATCCTCTCACAGAGAGACACTGCTACCATTTAGATGCTATCAATGTAAGCAGTCACAAAGTCGCTCGCACAAATGCACACAGAGACACTAACTCTTTTGAAACAGTGGCACTAGTCTATTAATCACGTAAAGCAACAGCAGACCCACATTATCACTTCATACTCTCGAGAGTGAACAGCAGAAGATGAGAAAGAAGTGGAACTCGCTAAACAGCCTGTTATTTTAAGAGCCTAATTAAAACTAGTTCAAACTCCACTCTGAACTAGTAAAAACTGTTCAGAGAGAAACAGAAGCCAAAAAATAACCAATTTAAAGCCCATTAGAATCATCACTGCAAGGAGGGAGAATGAGTGGTATGAATACGGCTGGTACTTGGCAAACATACCCAACAAACACACTCACCCCCTTATGAAATTCCCCAAACCCACCATAGTCTGCTTTTAGCTGTGTGAAAGTGTGTATACACATGAAGAGAATGAGTAAGGATTAGTGACAAGAGC